TTTGTCTCTTGAAGTATGACATGATGAGAAACAAATAAAATGCATTTCGAATTTGTATTGACTTTGGAAAATTGATTAACTTCAAAGGAAGAGCGATAATTCTGAAATACTCAGATACTCAGAAAACTCGAATACTCGTAAAAAAGAAGTAAAACGCATTTCTGTTCGAATTTCTACCGGCTTTGGAAAATGAGTGAAACTCAAAGGAAGAGCGATAATTTCCAAATCCTCAGACAAGAAAATTCTGTCTCCTAAAATATTACCTAATAAAAAACAAATAAAATGCGTTTCTGTTTAAATCTCTACTGGCTCTGGAAAATGAACGAAACTCGAAGGAACATTCACAATTTTCAAATCCTCAGACACTCATAAAAAGCAAATAAAAAGCATTTTTATTTAATTTTCCATTATCTTTAGAAAATGAACGAAACTCGAAGGAAGACTGACCATTTCCAAATCCTCAGCTCAAGAAAGTATTGCATAACAAAACAGACAAATGAAATACGTTTCTTTTTCACCCGGAATTTTAACCGGCTTCTGAAATATCGCACCTGTAATCACGATGCAATTTCACAGCCGGCCATATGCAATCGAATCGAGCGTGTAATCAACAATCTGCTATAATTCATTGAAATTCTGAGTCATATTATTACGTGTAAATTGCTGACGGTACACGAGGCATCTAAATCCAACGATTCGCGATTAGGGGGACGATAGTGAATCACTGTTCGAGGCGGAAGATGATCAGGACCGGTTTGTCTGTCGATTTTCTGGCGGATTGCCCCACGATCGGTCCATCCTGGCGCGAACGATCGCTCGTTCTCGACGGTGAATTATGTCCTTTGGCATTAGCCACCGTGTATGTATTTCGGAGCAGACGATACGACAGTTTTAAACGGCCTTTCGAGAAGCCGTGGGAGGCGTGCTGGCGTCTCGTTTTTCGGATTTCACGTGAAACGCTGGTGTATCACTCTTTCATGATTTCTTTCGTTCATACGTGTGAACGTATCTTTTCGCCACTTTCAACGTTAGAGATTAGGCGATGTCGGTGACCGTCTTGGAAAGTGGTAATCTGTTCTGCAACGGTGGTATTCGTATCGTTGCGAACAATTAACAGAGTTATTGAAAAGTAACGTGTTTATTCAAGGAATCTGTTTTTTATTCGATCGAACGATTCTGAAGAGCACTTTTAGGGAGATGTAAGTTGAAGAAATGGTACGGAGAAGATTGAGAGAAAGTCGAGAGATCGAAATGTGGGAATCTTTGATAGGTTTTTTTGGGGAACGAATGATATTCTGCGATCTTTCGAACGAATTTAATGTTTCGAGTGAAATTGTTAGTCGGTGATGGTAATAGATTTGGTTTTGTTTGCAGATATCGTCAGACCAGGTTCAGCTCGCGGCGGATCCGCAAAAGGGTGGTTTTCAAGCACGGCGATTGCAATGTCGTACAAGGAAATGTCGCCAAACGACGTCGTCGTTACCTTCAGGTAAATTTAAAGTATTTCTAAAAGCGTACGACCTGCAGAGGTGAGTTTCGCCTTGTACACTTCCGAATTCAAGGCGATTTCGCTGTTATTTTTTCGCGCGGAAAAACGTTACGTTTCAGGAAAGTGTTTCCCTTCATTCAACACCGAGTCAGACGGCGAAGTTTGATCTGTCTTGATCTATTTTCCGAGTGCAATTACTTGCCAAATTGCCACTGTCCTCTATAGTGGATACTTTGATGTAATTTCTATATTCCGATTCTCTCGCAAAACGTTTATTTCTCGAACTAGCTAAAATTAACACGATTGTTCCACTTTCTCGACCCTCGTTCCTCTATAACTGTCTAATCTATAGTCTCTCATAACAAACATTTACGTTTCATTCAACAGCGATGACAAAGGAATTACTGTAATAAAAGATATCACATTCGTATCGATGTTCTTCCAAATGGACGTTTAAAATCGCGGGGAACGTCGAAAAAATGTAGCAATATGCGACAGTCAAACGCGGTTAAAGTAATTTCGATTATCTTATCATTCACAGAAGTCATCCTAAAATCTCTGTCCATAGGA